TCAGTCTCAAGATGAATTTTTCGCAGTTTTGGATCATTGGCAGCTTTTGGACAATATCAAGACTTGGTCATTCCGGTGACAAATTTTCAGAACGAAGACAAGGGTTTCATGGTTTTAGTAGGTGATGTCTTTGATGTTCCAACTGGTGTTAGAAAAATTGATAGTTACACTATTTATGGATTAAATGTGCCTTTAAATGTTTGGTTGAAGAAGAGGCAAAGGACAAGACAGCAAGGTAAATGTGTATGCTTGAAGACTTTGATCAATCATTGATTTATCTCTGATGAATCCAATGGTTCTCTTGTTGCAGTGCCTCAGCGAACGAGCTCACGCTGGAAGAAAATCAAAACATGCGAACTGTAAGAACCATCACATTTTGAATTGTTAAGATAAATGAGAGGTTGAATTTCTTATGTGTTTGATGATTCAGGAATTGGAGATCACTGCTGCTTCTGAAAAGTTAGCTGAGTGTCAAGAGACGATTCTAAACCTGGGAAAAGCTTATCTTTGATTCCTTGATTTTATTCAATTCTCTCAGTATCCTTCTCCTACGTGATAAGTACTTCGCTACCTCTGTTCTCGATATTATTAGCTTCCAAGTGAGGATATTTGGAAAAATATTTATTAAATACAGCTGATCATGAAAATTCAAGTTCAAAATCAATACGAAAAATTTGGAGCTAAAAACATATTCTGATAATCCCATGGGTTTATGGTTGGAGCTAAAAATTTGGTTGGGGTTCATCAGGATTAAAAAAAATAAAAATATTAATTAAAAAATCCTATGAACCCTTCATTGAGTATCATGGTTGGAGATGCTCTAATAAAGACGCACTGTTTTTTGGACTAATTCTGAAATGCCTTGGCTTATTATTATCATATGGCAGTAGTATCTGCTCATTATTATTCATTAACTCTTACTTCAAAATTCATAGTATTTGGAAAATAATAATAGAAAATTGGATAAGACCGAAAAACTTGGACGTTGGAGAGCACTTACAAAAGCTACTTTCTTATTTATTTATTGTTAAGTTCTTTTTAATCACTTCAAAAGGAAAGAGATTCCCATTTGTTAGGAGGTGAAAACCGCCTTTCAGTTTGTACCCTGCGGTTTTCACAGTATAAACTAAGATCGACATAATTAAGTTTAGTTAACGATTGTGAAATACCGAGAAAACTGGGCCGAACGAACCCCCAGGCCGACCTAAGCCCATTAACATAAAGTTGTGGAATATTTTTAAAAAATAAGGAAAAATTTCATCTTCGACTTAGAGAAAATGAAACATTCTAGGATCCCATATCGAGAAGAGACCTCCTAGAAAACCAACTTAGATCATATATTAAAGGGAGAGGATTTGCCACCAACAAGGACACACAAAAATCCCGAAAGACCTGGAAATTGAGAGCTATATAGAATTGAACACTTTGATTAAGAATAAAAGCACTTCTTTTATTAGCTTTAGAAAACTTAACTCAAAAACTAAAACTTCTAATCTCTCTCAACTCATATCATATGTCATAACTCGACATTAATATATATATATATATATATATACTATGAAGAGTATTCAAAAATCTAAAACCTATTAGATAATACAACTTTCACTTTCTTAAATAACTCCTAACCACAGATAGTTTGGTATACTCATGTGTTTTAGGATACTTCTGGTCATCTCCATCAAAGTTCGATTTCTTCTCTCCACAACACCATTCTGTTGGGGATGTATAGGGAGCTGTTAGATGTCTAGTGATGCCTGAAGTTTCACAAAACGGCTGGAACTCGAGTGATACAAACTCTCCTCCCCTATCTGTTCGAAGTGTCTTGATTGTGGTTCCTGTCTCTTGTTCCACAACTGCTTTGAACGCCTTAAATCTTTCAAACGCCTCACTATTTTCCTTTAAAAGAAGCGACCACATGTATCGGGAGTAATCATCAATCAGCACAAATATATACCTGTTTTGAGCTGCTGTTGGAGGTGTGATTGACCCGCAGAGATCTCCATGTAATAGTTAAAGTTTTCTGGTTACACGATAAGTGGTAGCTTGAGGAAAGACTCGTCCGGCTTGTTTTCCAAGGAGACACGAGGTACGTCTCTTTTCCTTTTGGTAAGCTTGTTATCCCAACCACTAGTTCCTTCTTCACCATTGTTTTTATGGTTTCTGAATTAACATGTCCTAATCGCAGGTTCCACTTCGAGTCCTTTGTTGTTAATAGCTGTAGGCATCTAGTATCATAGACTTTTAAACTCACTTTGTATAGACGATTCCTTGATCGATTTTCTTTTACCACTAGTTTGCCTTCTTTGTCGTATAATATCAGATAATCCTCCTTCATCCTAACCTCACAACCAGACACTGTTGCTTGACCAAGAATTATGATATTGCTTCTCAACTCTGGTATGAAGTAGACATTGTTAAGAGTTTTTCTTACACCATTCTTGCTCAAGAAAACGATCGAACACTTCCCTTTTATATTGATGCGTGAGTTGTCTCCAAACCTTACTTTCCCGGTGAATGTCTCATCGATTTTGGAGAAGCAAATGAGATTTCCAGTCATGTGGTTGCTTGCCCCATTGTCTAAATACCATACCTTGTAAGAACAAGCATCAAAATTGTCTGATTTCACTTTTCTCTCATTGAGAAATACTACTTCATGCATCATGAGATCTTCTGCCTTTTTCGAGTCATCATCTTCTTCCTCCTGTGTTTCCTGAAGTTTGAGAAGTCTATCAGGACATACTGACGCATAATGCCCCATCTTATCACATCGATAACAAACAATTTTCGATTTATCCCTTTGTTGATTACCAAACCGTCCTCGTCCTCTTCCTCGTCCAAAACGTCCTCCTCCTCTACCTATTCCTCCTCCTTGAGATTCTTGGTAGTTTTGTGAGTTTTGAAAGTTCTATTGCGAGTTCTGCGAGTCCATATTGGCATACATAAGGTTGCCTGATCTTCCTGCGACTCTTCTTCTTCGCAGGTTCTTTCTTCATAGGCATTTAATCTTCCCATAATATCTTCGTAGCTAGTTATGTTAAGATCGAGAACCTGCTCCAGGGAAGCTAAAATATGTATGTATTCCTTCCTAGGTAAGCTCTTGAGGAAACTTTAACAATCTTCGATTCTTCAATGTTTACTCCCAAGGCTGTCGATTTGGTAGATATCTCTGAGAGTTTTCCAGCAAACTCATCTATTAATGTATCAGTTTCTTCCATCTTCAATCTATCAAATTCAGCCTTCAATGTTTGTTATCTAGCTTCTTTTACTCTGTCAGCACCAACATGTCTTGTTTTGATCGAATCCCAGACAGCTTTAGCAGTATCTAGGTCACCTAGTTGAAGGATTAGTGCTTCCGGTATAGATTGAAACAAAAGAGCTCGAGCCAGGTCATTTTTCATTTTGTCGTTCGACCCTGGTTTGATGACTTCCCACACTTTGTGAACCTTAAGCGCTACCTTAACTCGCATAGCCCAGACAGTATAATTAGTTGTGTTTAGCATTGGATACTGTATGGACGCAGAACCTCCTTCCTTAGGTTTGTTTGTTGCAGCGACGATATCACCCATTCTTCCGATTATCTTTGTATTTGCTTATTGTGATTTGGCTCTGATACAACATATAGAATTGAACACTTTGATTAAGAATAAAAGCACTTCTTTTATTAGCTTTAGAAAACTTAACTCAAAAACTAAAGCCTCTTAATCTCTCTCAACTCCTATCATATGTCATAACTCGACATTGATATATATGAGGAGTATTCATAAATCCAAAACCTATTAGATGGTACAATTTTCCTTTTCTTAGA